TTTTTTTTTTTTTTTTGGTGAGGAAGACCGGCTCTGGGCTAACATCCGTTCCCATCTTCCTGCACTTTATATGGGACACGACCACAGCATGGCCTGACAAGCGGTGCATCGGTGCGTGCCTAGGACCGAACCCAGGCTGCTAGCAGCGGAGTGCGCACACTTAACAGCTACGCCACGGGGCTAGCCCCCGGAGATCAATTCTATGAGGTGCAACTTCTGGTTAATGGAATACAGCCAGGATATTTCTGTACCAACCAGAGAATATGATATCTTCTTGGCTTAAATTCTTATAATGTAATATGGTAGGATTAATGAGAGCAAAACTGTATAAATGATATTTTATTTATTTATATCCTAAGGGAGGGAGCCTGGACTCCTGAGCTAGTGAGGAGAGAAAATACTAAGTGACCTATGGAGACCTGGAGAGACTCTTCTTCCTCTTCCTCTCTCCTTTCCAGGGGAATAGATAGTTTTGGGAATTGGGTATTTTCTCATATGTTCTTACCTAAAAGGGAGGAGAAAGCTTCCATTAAATTATGTGCAAGGGTCTGTTAGCCCTGTGCAAAGCCACTTTTGGAAAAAGGCCACAGCTTTGTAACCATGTGAGTCACAGGCCAGTGTTGTAGAGGTAGGCTCCAAGGGGCAGCCATCTGGGACCAGGAGAAAAGCCCAGGGGCGGGGATCTCCCCCAATTCCAGTGTAGGGCAGAGATGGGGACAGTACGCTGTATTGGGGTGCTTGGAGCAGCAGAGAGAATCAAAGGAGTGATTCTGATGCCGGACACATACCCAAGTTCTTTACCTACCGCACAAGAGAGGCCAAATAAAACTGGAAATACCAGGCTTATGGCAAGGAAAGAGTTTTTATTTCGGGTGACATCAGCTGGGAGACGAGAGCTCTCAAATTTGTCCCGTCTCCCTGAAAGATGGGAGGCAAGGGGTTTTACAGGTTGTGAGGAATGTAGCTGCTTGTAGGGAGGGAGAGCCTGTGGCCTTGCTGGTCAGCAATTTCCCACCAGCCTGCTTTTGGCCTTGCGAGGCTGCTGGCAGGGAGGAGGATGGTGAGATAAGGGAATCACAGGTGGGTGTCTTTCAACCGTCTCTGTCTCCTTCTGTCTCTGTGGTGGATGCTGGCTTCTGGCATGAGGAAGCCAAGGAGTTGAGGTCTGAGAAGCTTTAGCTTCTTGATACCAGTTTCCCCGTAACAAACCTCAAGAACAGGTAATTAACCAAAACTTCAGTGTGAGCCCAGCTTGAGGCCACCTGGGCTTTTAACAATTTGTAACCTCTATCTGCCTTGTGAAGTTCAGGGATACAAAGGTTTAAAAAACCAATATTTACATATGAATGTAACTTAGAGAAACAGGGATAGAGGATGAGTGCTTTTGGTTTTAACCCCATATATGCTGGGTTTAATGTAGGGGAACTGATATCGGGGCCGGCATCAAGTCTAGACTTTTTCCTTCATTCCAGAACTGTTGGGGCAATTAACCAGAAGGCTAATTAAAGTGATTAAGCAATTAAAGTGATTTAATTGCTTCAGAGAAAACATGAGCAATATTGTCCTTAATTCCTAATTTACTTCTTTAAACTGTTCTCCAAAAATAAAATTGGGAAAGCTTTATGTTTTCCTGTTATTTTTATTGCTTTGCATCTAGGAAATTACGAATGTCTGTAGCAGTGAGTGGTTCCTTGCCCTGGCAGATCACCTGGGAAGCTTTTGAAAAGATATTGATGCCTGAGTCTCATCCCAGTCTAATTAAATCAAAATCTGTAGGGGTGGTGTCCAGGCATTAGTGTTTTTTAAAGTTCCCCGGGGTCATTCTATGTGCAGAGTTGAGAACTAATGTTCTAGAGCTTCATACTGAAATATTAAAACGTGGCTAAAAGGATGGTTTTTTAGCAACAATTGGTGTGTCTACATCTTTTATAGCCAGAGTGGCCGGGCCCACTAATGACATTTATCCAGCCCCCAAACTTGCACTGTCTTTCCACAACCAGTGAAGGAAACAACGCCAACATCTCTTTCTCGTCCTCGAAATAAATCTCTAGTTGGCCCCGGCGGCCGAGGGGCTGGGGAATCTGAGCCTACGTTCCACCCGACACTTAGAGCTCTGGAGAGGTGCCTGGGCCTGGCCGGGAGGCTGGAGAAGGCGGGACCTGGTGAAGCAACCGTTGACCCGGGTAAGGCCCCGCCCCAGCCTCTGCCTAGACCCAGCACCCCGAACCGCCCCGCGGAGCCGCAGGCGACCGTGCGCTGCGGACTACGTTTCCCATAATGCACCCCAGGGGCGGGCAGGGCCGGGCTGAGCGGCTGGAGCTCGGCCTCTGCCGGGAGAGGCCAGGGGGGCTGTCTTCCTGGGCCGGCTGCCGGACAAGGGGCGGTGGTCCACGCTGTGGCCATGTCTGCGTCCGCAGGGTACTGTGGCCCCGCGAACCTGCGCTCTCAGTACGGGCCTGACCGGACATCCGTGGTCTCCTGGGGCTCCGGCAGAGGGCAGTGACCCGCAATCTCTGTGCGTCGTGGGCCCCTCCCCCAAGAAACAGGTGAGTCCGACTGCCAACCCACGTGGCCTGGGGGCGCCGAGAGACTGGAGAGCTGTCATCTTTGAAGGGAGGGGCTTGAAGACTGGGGGCCCCTGCCGTCTACGCTGCCATTTGTGGTAGGAGGACTGGGTTTTTCTGGGTCCCTTAGCCGGTTGGCCCCTACCTGGGGAATACAAAAGGCGAGGCCTGGAACCCATCCTTTGGCTGAGAGAGCGAAGTACTGTAGGGGGCAGTGGCCGTGTTGGACCCGCCTCCCAAGGCACACACATTCGGCCAGCAAAGTCCTCTCAAAGCTCGGCAGAGGTGACTGTGGGGACAGGGCAGCTCGTGAAAGTGTCTTGGGTCTTGGGACTTTGCTCTCAAGGGTGCCCTGGCTCAGATAACAGTGCTGCCCCTTGTACCCAATGAACCACCTTTTTCGGGCTGGAGTTTGCTGTGGAGGGTGAGCAGCCTTTGTCAGAGAGGGGAGTGGCCACCAGCAGTCACAAGTACCAGGCCATGCTCTCAGCATGGAGTAGGCATCCTGCTGAAGCAGCTACAGCACAGCCTCACCTGGGCTCTGTCTGCCACACACCCATACATCCTGGTCCCACTTTCCCAGATAGAGCACTCCCCAAAGGGTCAAGGCAGGATGGAGCACTATCTAAGCAGGAAGAGGGCACAAGAGTGGTAGGGAGCCACTAGGGAGGGGCTCTTACAAGGCCATCCCCCTTCCAGGGCGGATACCTGAGGGAGGGAGGCACACTAGAAGGGCTGATTGAGCCAACTTGTTTGGTGACATTGCTTATAGGCACAGCAGAGCACTTCTAGGGAAAGTAGCAAGCCCTGGGGACTTCTAGGAGGCTGCCTGAGAATGGGCCCCAAGGGAGCATCTGGGACTGGTTCCAGGAGACCTCTCTTGCTTAACTGCTTCAGGCCCAACCTCCTAGGAGCTTCAGCTACAGAGGTTATGGCTCCACTAGGGGTTGGAGTGGGTTTTGTTGTGAGTCACTCACCCTCCCCGCCTAGCTTCCAGAGTAAATGTCCAGAGGAGTGTTTGCTTCATCAGGGCTTCTGGCTAGATGCCCAGATTGGCCTTGGAGATGCTGAGATGCTGCATGATCTCAGGTAACAGGGGAACTGTTGTGAAGGAGGTGTCCACTAGTGCCAGCCAGCTGACCCAGCCCCCACTCCATGTGGGTACCATGCTGGGTACCACTCAGCCATGCTGAGCTCAGTCACCTGAAGCCCACAACAGATCAGTGGGTAGTGGGCCCCCAGGACATCGGGTAAGCTACTGTAGACCTTATTTGGGTCTTTGAGCCAGAGGTGCAAGGCCACAGAGCAGGGTCATGTGGCAGACCAAGGACTTCAACGTGGGAGAGACTTTCACGAGCAGCAGAGAACCAACAGTCTGTTCCTACAACTCTAGGACTGATGAATAGCCAATTAGCCTGGAGGAACTTCCAGTCCTAGGCCAATAGACAGCTCTTTGGTCCAACATCACAGGTGGATCACTTCAGGCCAGAGCCTACCTGGTTTCACAAGGTCAGAAGCACATTTTCCCAGGTCAGTTCGCTCAGGGCCTGGCTCAGAGTGAGCGAACTCTCAAAGGACTGATTTACATGGCAGAGACCACTGGATTTGTGTGTAAGTGCAGCTACACATGTTCTGAATGCTAAGTTAGAATAATCATGATGTGCTAATGGCAGCACCTGAGTGTACAAATGCCTACTCTGTGTCAGGGTAACAAAATTACATGGATTATCTCATTTAATCCTCCCACAACCCAATGAATTGGTACTATTATTATCCCCATTTTATAGATGAGAAAACTGAGATTTATAAAACCAAGCCAGGTTAATCCAGGTCCCTCTGATTCCAGAGCCTTTGTTCCTGAACACTTGACTATGTACTACTGAGGACAAGTCTTCACCACAGGCAGGAGTCTCCAGAAGCCACATCGTAGCTAGGTGTTCTTTGAGGATCTTTCACCTTCTCCCTTCCAAAGTTATTTATCTGGCAAACATTGATTAAACTCCTCTTGGGTGTGGGGCTGACATTCTGAAATTTGTGGCAGGTCACAGGGTGACCTCCAATGTAGAAAAATAAAGCAAGGCAAGAGGTGTCAGAATCAGGGATATTGCAGGAAGGCCTCTCTGATAAAGTAATACTTGAGCAGAAACCTGAAGGAAGTGAGAGAGTAAGTCATCTAGATATCTAGACCAAGCAATGGAATAGGTGAGGTAGAGGCAGGAGGAAAAGCAGGGAGATGTCGTCCAAGCAGAAAGTTCAGCAAGGGCCAAGTTCTGAAATGAAGGAGTGCTCAGAATTTACATTTACATTATACTTAAGGAAAGCCATGAAGTCATTGTGGCTGGGCTGAAGCAAAGTGAGTGTGGGAAATGGGTAGGAGATGAGGTCAAAGAAGTAATGCGGTGGGGGGTGGGGGTAGACAGAGTGGGGCCTTGTGCACCACTGTGAGGAAATTGGCTTTCTCAATGAGTGAGATGGAACCATTACAGAGTTGTGAGCAGAGGAATTGTATGACCTGACATCTGTTTCAAGAGGATGACTTTGAGTGCTGTGAGAAGGATAGACTGAATGAAGCAAGGACAGAAGTGAGGAGACTGGTTAGAAGACTGTTGCAGCAATCTCCTAGAGAGATAATGGTAGCTTGGACCAATGTGATAGTGGTGGAAGTGATGAGAAGTGGTCAGATTCTGGATATGGGCATTGCCCACTTAACATTAGTAATCTGTTCCGTGAAAGTTGGACCTTCTGTCTGGATCACTAACTTAGTGTCTGTTTCCCATTATTTTATTTTATTTTTTTTAAAGATTTTATTTATTTATTTTTCCCCCAAAGCCCCAGTAGATAGTTGTATGTCGTAGTTGCACATCCTTCTAGTTGCTGTATGTGGGACGCGGCCTCAGCATGGCCGGAGAAGCGGTGCGTCGGTTCTCGCCCGGGATCCGAACCCGGGCCGCCAGCAGCGGAGCGCGAGCACTTAACCGCTAAGCCACGGGGCCGGCCCTGTTTCCCATTATTTTAAATGGGAAAAAGTATAATGTTTCCTTCATCAACCCCGAATCCTCAATTTTTTAATAATGGCACTAAAATACAGGGAAAATATATAACTAATATATGCGCAATAAATTATAGTGTTAGGATATAAAATACTAAAAACATTCCCTCTTGATCACCGATGTTTGTTGCTTTAATGCAGTATCATGGCCTCTTTCAGTACCCGCAACAGCCATGATGCAAGTAAGCTCTTTTTGTTGGCACTCAGTGATCTTCTGTCAGTTCTGTTTGGAGTGTAATTTTAAATGCACATGACTTTTTTAAGACTATAGATCAAGTTTTGATGATGTAAATATATATTTTTTCTATATAAACATATCCTGAATCAATACGTTTGTTCTATTGGTTATCTGTTGTTGTGTAACAAATTATCCCAAAACTTAGCAGGTTAAAACAATAATAAATATTTATTATCTCATACACTTCCTGTGGGTCAGGAATTTGGGAGCAGCTTAGCTGGATGGTTCAGGCTCAGAGTCTCTCATGAGGTTGCAGTCATCCAAAGGCTTGACTAGGGCTAGATGATTTGCTTCCAAGATTGCGCACTCACATGACTGGCACATTGGTACAGGCTGTTTGCAGGTCTCAGTTTCTTGCTGTGAGGTTCTCTGTAGGGCTGCTTGAGTATCCTCTCAACATGGCTGATGGCTCCATCTAGAGAGAGTGACCCAAGAGAACAAGGCAGAAGCCAAAATGTCTTTTATGACCTATTCTCAGAAGTCACACACTGTCATTTTCACATTATCCTGTTGGTTACTTAGCTCAGCCCTGCTCGGTGTGGGAGGGGAATACACAAAGGCATGAATACCAGGAGTTGAGGATCACTGGGGACCATCTTGAAAGCTGGCTACCATAGTTGGGTATTAAAAACCAAGAAACATTCTGTAGGGAAAATGTTAACTAAAGAGACATTTTGCTGGGTGTGTCTGTATTCTGAAGAACAGCTGACAGCATTTGCTGATGGTTTGGTTTATGAGGTGTGGGGAAAAGAGAGGCATAAGGGATGACTTCAAGATTTTTCACCGAATAACTGAAAGGATGAAATTGTCTTTCACTGAGGTGGAGAATACTCTGGGAGGAACAATTTTTTAAGGGTATGATCAGGAACTCAGTTTTGGACATATAAATTTGAGACACTGTAAGACATCCAAGGGCAAACATCAAGTAGACAGTTAAACGTGTGTGCTTCTAGAAGTCAGAAGAGAGATTGGGGCTGGAAATAAAAATTGGAATCGTTAATGTGTCAATGGAATTTAAAACCATGAGACTGAATGAGATCACCAAGTGATTGAATGATGACAGAGAGGAGACTCAAGGACTGAACTCTGGGTCCCTCACCTGTTAAGAAGATCCTGCAAAGAGGACTTAGAAGGAGTGATCCACGAGGTAGAAGGAGAACAAAGAAAGGAGAGTGGTGTACCAGAAGCCAAGAGGAGAAAGTGTTTTGAGAGAAAGGAGATAATCAAGTGTGTCCATTGCTGCTGCTGAGTAAAGTGAGGTGATCCTGGAGGTTATTGGCGACTTTGATGGGAACAGTATTGCTGGTGTAACGGAGGCAAAAGTCTAGTTGGAATGAGCTCAAGAGAGAATAAGAGAAGTGGAGAGGCTGTGACAGAGACACTTCTTGATTACCAGATATCTATGAGTTCCCCACATTTCCCAGCCCCTCTGGCCACATGACTAGTTCTGTTCAAGCTGGGGTTTGAAGTATTTAAGAGCTGGTACGTGACCCTCCAGCTCTGTCTTCCACTGCCAGGTGATGTGGAAGGAATGTGTGCCAAATGGCAGAGCTATAAGATGCTAGTAGCCTGGATTCCTGAATCACTGCGTGGAAGAGAGCTGCTCTGAATTGCTACCAGTAGATTTTGTGTGAGCAAATAATAAGCCTTTATGTTTAAAGCCTCTACCATTTTGGCATTCATTTGTTACATAGCATAGCCTAACCTACCTGACTAATTAAACTCCAAGTATTATTTATTATTTTGAGGTTTGTTGTACAAAGGGCAGCACAAAAATGGGGTGGTACCCAGAGGGGAATGTAGAGTTATGGGGAGGTTTGTTTTAACTTTTACTTGAAATAAAGTTCACAAATGATAAGTATGGCTCAACAAATTATCACAGAGTGAACACACCCAAGGGAAATTGTTTTGAAAATGGAAGAAACATCAGCATATTGGTGATAGATAGGGGAGAAGGGGAAACTGATGGTCTGGGAGAGAGAAAGACAGCTGCTGAAGCCATATGCTTGAGTAGGCAAGAAGGACTGGGGTGGAGGAGTTAGATTTCAGTGGAGCAGGGACAGCTCATCTTTAGTAAGAAGAAGGAAGGCAAAGTCTGGCAGGTGAGGCAAGGTGGTGGTGGGAATCTTGGAAGTTCTGTTTTGCTGACTTCTGTTTCCTCAGTGAAATGGAAGGCAAGGTTATCACTGATAGTGCTGAGAGTGAACATTGGAGAAGGAGGTGATGGAAGTTTGAGAAGAGAGAAAGTGTGAAGTTATTGATGAGGGGAGTGGGAAAGTGGGTAGACATAGGAAGGTAGAGCATTCCCATTTAAAGCAATGGTTCTGGACGCTCTCCTCACAAAAAAGCACAAGCCAATCCAGGTCTCCATCCAGGGAGCCAGGTTCAGAATCCCTGGCCACAACCCTGGAACTGTCAGTAGCAGTTTACCCTCTGCCTGGACATGGACAGACTCATCTCTCTGAAGTCGCCCTCTCTTTACCACAGCAATGCAGACCCCACTATGGCTTTTAGGTTAGCTTGTGAAATAATGGTCTACGAGGTTCTCATCTGGCCTGTATCTCCCTGCTCAAGACCTAGACATGCTCTAGTTTCCTTAGCACCCACTGCTCTGGGCTCTGTGGCATTACAGTGGCTGTTTTGGCCTGTTTTAGATTTCTCCTCTTGGTCTCAGTCTCAGAGGAGACCTTTCTGGACACCTCCCCAGGTTCCTGTTGAGGGCATGCAGTCTCTTAGTTCCTCTGGCCCGTTGTCAGACAAGGATGCCTTGGTCTTCTATGCTCTGACCCTCATGGGGAACCATCACTCTTGACTGTCTTGATGGATGGGATTGGTGGCCTAGAAAATCCCAAAAGGTACATGTTCTCCCAAATAATCTTCCTTTGGTCCTACTCTGTGTGGGGTGATGCTGTTGGTCAGTGGTACTCAACCCCCACTTTGTCTGTGGTGCTCCAGGCTCAGTGTGGGTGTGGCTACCAGGCAAGTTTCTGGCCCTGCCTCCCTGTCTGTCTGTTTGCACATTGAACTTCTCTGCAAAAAATTAATTTGAGGAAAGGATTCCATAGCATAAAACAAAGATGACAAAAAGAAGAGCTTTAAAATCAATTCTTTGGTACACACAGGAGCTGCCTGGTAGGAACGATGGGAGGGTCCGAAAGAGTGTTCTTGGACACAGACAAGCTGGTGCCACACAAATGCTAGTGATGGTGATGCTGTCTGTTTGAGAGAACTCTTTCCATGAGCTTTTTTTTTTTTTTTTTGTCTTTTTTTTTTTGGTGAGGAAGATTAGCCCTGAGCTAACATCTGTTGCCAATCCTCCTCATTTTGCTGAGGAGTATTGGCCCTGAGCTAACATCTGTGCCCATCGTCCTCTACTTTACATGTGGGACGCCTGCCTCAGCATGGCTTGATAAGCAGCGTGTAGGTCTGCGTCCGGGATCCAAACCTGCGAACCCCGGGCCGTGGAAGTGCAAACTTAACCACTACACCACTGGGCTGGCCCCTCTATGACCTTTTTAAAGCACCTACTTCCTGCCAGACTCAGGGTAGAGTCATTGCCCAAGGTTACAAAGCTAGTAAGGGACAAGGTCTCAGTTATTTCTTACGGACTCTGCTCCAGGAGGGCAGGAGCAGGATCTGCTTTGCTCATATTAACACCAATTCCTCCCAAGCCCCTGGCCTGCCTGCAGTGCCCTCCTCATGAGTCCCTGACTAGACTCTGCTGCCCTTCTAACCCATCCAACCAGATCTCTCTTCCCTAAAAGGTTAGTGCCTCAGATGGAACCCCTCCCCTGTGGACTGTATGTTGCCTGCCAAATGAAGACCCTCAGCCTGCCATTCAGGGACCCTAGAGGCTGACCTCCAGTGAGCCATCCAACTTTTTTTATCCCTGGCATCCACTCATGGCCACCTCCACCTGGCCCTGAGGCTGCAGAAGGACTGGGAGATCAGGCTGAGTTTGTCCTGGCCATCAAATGGGCACTGAGAATTATCATGTCTATAGTTGTATTTAATTGGTAAGGCAAGCCCTGGTGCCAAATTCAAAAGGTACAAAAGTGTACTCAGAAAAAAGCAAGGCTCCAGTCTAAAGACAAGCCTGTTTTCTCTGACTCACTTCTTTCTTTGCAAGTGCCTAAATATCCAAAAAGAACCATTGGTCAGCTCAGTTTTGAATGGAGAATTATTCTTGGTAGGAAGCACAGTGAAAGATAGCAGGAGACAGAAGTGTTTCAATTCCCAGCTCCAGCACTGCGTTCCTGTAGTGACATTGGGCAAGGTACTGAAACTCTCTCAGCCTCAGTTCCCTCATCTATAAGCTAGCCAGATAGGAGCACCTGCCTCAGAGAGGACTGACCAGAATTTGATAACTGAATCCACAAATCCACATAAATTTCTTAGCCTGCTACCTTGGCACTCAATAAGTATGAACTACTGTTATCAGTTTGTAAAAAAAATTATTTACATTTTATATACATTTTTTTAAAAAAAGACTAGAAAGAAATACACTAAATGTGAACAGTGAAAGATCCTGAATGGTGGGAAAATGGTGACTTCTTTCTATACATTTTTGTATTTTCTAAGTTTTCTACAATGAATAGATACAATGAATTCTTACCTTTCTACTCAGAAAAAGAACAACATACTTAATTTTTTAGAGGGGAATACTCAGAACTCATTCCTCAGAGGTTTGAGTTAGCTGGGTCCTGGTGAGGGACACTTTCCTGTACTTACCATTGTTAATTATGCCAGTGACCTCTGCCAATAGCACCTTCCCTCTTATCTTCAGTGATGCCTTTGTTTGCCCCACAGGAGAGCCCAAGTGATGGCTGCTGACATGCAGAGGAAGAGAAGTGGTGAAGTCTCTGATGGCACATTGGCTCCTTCTGATGGGCAGAGTGTGGAGAGAGCTGAGAGCCCCACACCAGGACTGGCACAGGGAATGGAGCCAGGTATGGGCAGGGTGTGCAGCCCCAGCTAGCTGACAGCTAGAGCAGCCTCCAGGGCAATTGCAATTCCCAACTACTCTTTCGCTCCCACTCATTCATGCATGTGTTCATTTATTCACTGGATATTTGTCAAGTGCTGGGGATACTCCAGGGAACCAGGCTCAGTCTGTGGCCAGCCTTCCTCTCATGCTGTGTTACTTGCCCTGTGCTGTTGGCTGCCAGTGTCGGCTCTCCTCCTATTCCCTGTGTCTACAGTGTACCTCCCTGGCTCCTTCTCCCTCCCTCCCTCAGCTCTCAGCTTAAATGTCACCTCTTCATGAGTTAGGCCTGCTCTGACCATACTCTGTGTAGAACACTAATTATTTTGTACTTTTATTTGTTTATGTATATATTACCCATCTCTCTCGTCCACAAGATTGTGAGCTCTTCCAGCACAGAGTGGTTGTGTCCCCAATGCCTGGTACAGTGCCAAACTCATAACAGAGACTCAGAATATATCTGTTGAACTAGTTTCTCCAAAAATAATCAGTAAAGGAAGACAGACATGGTTCCTGCCTTGGGGGAGCCACAGGCTAGTTGGGCCATTACAAGGGAGTGGGTTAGGAGCTGTGGGTCCCTGAGCAGGGTCAGGGAAGCCTTGTCCCAGGGAGCGAGATTCACTGAGCACAGGAGGTATTCCAGGCACAGGGTGAGGTGCTGTGCACACAGCAGTGAACAACCAGGTTCCTGCCCTTGAGGGCAAACCCCATTATAGTTGGGGAGAAGGACAATAACTGACAAGTGCCACAAGAGAAATCAAAGAGGGAGACATGATAGAGTGCCTGGGGTTGGAGGTCAGGTGAGGAGCCAACTAACATCTTTGCTGAGAGCTGAAGTGTGACAAAGAGCCAGCCATGCGAGGAGGTGGGAGTGTCTTCCAGGCAGAGGGAACAGCAGGTGCAGAGGCCCTGAGGTAGGTGAAGCATGTTGAGGGTGTACAAAGAGCAGATGGACAAAGGCCAGTGTGACTGGGATGGGCAAGAGCTGTGAGATGAGAGTGAGAGAGGCAGGCAGATACTAGCCGCCCCCGCAACCATGAGGGGTTTGGGTCTTATTCTCAGTATGATGGGAGGAGACTGGTGGGCTGTAAGTTGCAGAGAGGCATAACTCGTAGCAGACGGTAGCAGGAAGGAACAGTGGCTTGCCTTGTTGGGACAGGCAGTCAAGCTAGAGTGCTGGTTAGGCACCTTACTGGTGAGGTGGTCAGCCAGCGGCTACTGCTCTAAGCACCAGTGCTTTTGGCCGGCAGGTGCCGGGCAGGAGGGTGCCATGTTCGTCCATGCCCGTTCCTACGAGGACTTGACTGAATCAGAGGATGGGGCAGCTTCTGGGGAGAGCCCCAAAGAGGGTGCTGGGGGTCCCCCACCGCTGCCTGCAGACATGCGCCAGATCAGCCAGGACTTCAGTGAGCTGAGCACCCAGCTGACGGGTGTGGCCCGAGACCTGCAGGAGGAGATGCTGCCAGGAAGCTCTGAGGACTGGCCGGAGCCCCCAGGGGCGGCGGGGCGACCAGCCACAGTGCCCCCCAAGGAGGGCACAGGCGAGGTCGATGAGGAGGATGCTGCCGAGGCATGGCGACTGCACCAGAAGCACGTCTTCGTGCTGAGCGAGGCTGGGAAGCCTGTGTACTCCCGCTATGGGTCAGAGGAGGCACTTTCCAGCACCATGGGTGTCATGGTGGCCCTGGTGTCCTTCCTGGAGGCTGACAAGAATGCCATCCGTTCCATCCATGCAGGTAAGCCACCTGGAGAGGGGGGTTGGGAGGGCCTTCCTGGCCAGGGTTAATTCATAGAATGTTTTGGGCTCCCAGGGACTAGAGGGCTGGGATGTGCTTTGTCACCAAGGGCAGTTCCTCCACGTCACCAGGCCTCAGGTCCTCATCTGAACATGGGATAACAACACTGACTGCCTCATAGGGCTGTTGTGAGGGCCAGAGGTGGCTCTAACATGGGCTTTGCCCTTGAAGAGGGTGAGAAGGGGCCTGCTCCATGGCGTAGCAGTTAAGTGCCCGTGCTCTGCTGCTGGCGGCCTGGGTTCGGATCCTGGGCATGCACGATGCACTGCATCTCAGGCTATGCTGTGGCAGTGTCCCATATAAAGGAAGATAGGCACAAATGTTAGCCCAGGGCCAGTCTTCCTCAGCAAAAAAGAGGAGGATTGGCATGGATGTTAGCTCAGGGCTGATCTTCCTCAAAAAAAAAAAAAAAAAAGTGTGAGAAGCCTGTGGAGGTGACCAAAAAATCCTGGGTCTTAAGCCCCACCCAGCTGTTGCCATTTAGCACAAGAATGTGTGTTTTTCAGAAGTGCTTCCCACATTTCAGCTGGTGCCAGTCTGTGAAGCAGGTGGCAGGAACAGGCCTGGAGCCCTCAGGGAAAGGGGGCCATGGGCTGCTGTTTTTCTCCTCATCATCCTGAAGCCCCTACTGTGTGCAGAGCTCTGAGGGAGGGTGGAGAAGATGTGAAAGGCGACAAGCTGTTCAGGAAGGCCGGGCTCCAAGGAAGGCCAATCCGGGAGGGCTTCCCGGAGAGGGGCTGAAGCTGACACTCCCCCCCCCTCCCCCCGCCCTCAGATGGCTACAAGGTAGTCTTCGTGCGCCGGAGCCCACTGGTGCTGGTGGCGGTGGCCCGCACGCGACAGTCGGCTCAAGAACTGGCACAGGAGCTGCTCTACATCTACTACCAGATCCTGAGCCTTCTTACAGGCGCGCAGCTGAATCACATCTTCCAGCAGAAGCAGAACTACGACCTGCGGCGCTTGCTCTCGGGTTCGGAGCGCATCACCGACAACCTGCTGCAGCTCATGGCGCGAGACCCCAGCTTCCTGATGGGGGCGGCGCGCTGCCTGCCCCTGGCGGCAGCTGTGCGTGACGCAGTGAGTGCCAGCCTGCAGCAGGCGCGTGCGCGCAGCCTCGTCTTTTCCATCCTATTGGCGCGCAACCAGCTCGTGGCCCTCGTGCGCCGCAAGGACCAATTCCTGCACCCGATCGACCTACACCTGCTCTTCAACCTCATAAGTTCCTCCTCCTCCTTCCGTGAGGGCGAGGCTTGGACACCTGTGTGCCTGCCCAAATTCAACGCAGCCGGCTTCTTCCATGCACACATCTCTTACCTGGAGCCGGACACCGATCTCTGCCTGCTGCTCGTCTCCACCGACCGCGAGGACTTCTTTGCAGTCTCTGACTGCCGCCGCCGCTTTCAGGAGCGCTTGCGGAAGCGCGGAGCCCACCTGGCGCTGCGGGAGGCACTGCGCACGCCCTACTACAGTGTTGCCCAAGTGGGCATCCCCGACCTACGCCACTTCCTCTATAAGTCAAAGAGTTCGGGACTCTTCACCAGGTGAGGGAGGGCCTTGGGGACACTGCTTGAGGGAGACGGGCATGGGAAGGGGTGCTGGTTGGGCCTGAGCCCTGATGCAGTTCTGAGGCTGATGACCCCTCTGGGAATGGACTGACATGCTGGGTCTGTTTTACTCTGACACCAGGGATCCAGACTCCCTATCACCCTACTCCCAATAGGCATATACCTCTCTTAGTACTTCTTTAGCCAGAAGGCCTCAAAATACCCAATACACTCAGAGAAGAAAGCTAGAACAAAGGTCTCATGGGTCCCTTGCCCTGGAGCAACTCTGCCTTAGGGTCATTTTGGTCTAGCCCAGGATGCAGAACTCCTCCTCCAACAGAGGGGCTGGGGCCAGATGTGGCAGCTTCTGTCCTGCCTTTACCCCTTTTTGGTCCAGAAGGTGCCCAACTCACCTTTCCTCCACTTCAGACCTGTCACTCTGTCTTGGACACCTAAACTCAGATTGGTCTCTCCAAGGGAGGCACACCAAAGATGCCATGAACTTGGGGGTGGGGGGAGAACAGGGCTCCAGTCTCAGTGGGCCCAGTCCTGTCCTGGGGAGTTTTCTGTGGTGGGGAGACAATGCCCTGTCCTGGGGGAGCATTTGGAGGGTAGGACACATGACAGAGTCTCCCTGGCTAGGCATAGGTGTTTCTAGGTCTCCAGAGAAGGCAATGGACGTTATTCCTTTGTGAACCCACTCCCCCATCTCCAGCCCTGAGATTGAGGCCCCGTATACCAGTGAAGATGAGCAGGAGCGGCTGCTGGGCCTCTACCAGTACCTTCATAGCCGTGCGCACAATGCCTCCCGCCCACTCAAGACCATCTACTACACGGGCCCCAACGAGAACCTCCTGGCCTGGGTAAGGCGGCCCTGGGTTAGGCTGGGCTTCACTGGGGTCCTGGGCAGGGCCCACAAGGGTTGTCTAACCTGGATGACCACTCGGTGCTCCCTCCTCCAGGTGACAGGCGCCTTTGAGCTATACATGTGCTACAGCCCCCTGGGGACCAAGGCGTCAGCTGTCAGTGCCATCCATAAGCTGATGCGCTGGATCCGCAAAGAAGAAGACCGCCTCTTCATCCTCACGCCTCTCACCTACTGACGGGAATATGTGTGGGCTCAGCCCCCCTAGGCATACTGGGCCATGGGAGCCTTCAGGTGGGGCTGGCCTCTTTTGCCCAGGCAGCAGGCAGGGACTGTGGGTTGGTGTGTGCATTAAAGTGCTTCTGGGAAGACGCTCGTTGGGCCTTGTCACTGGTTCCTTTACTCACCCACTGTCACTCACATACACCAGATCTTCCTCTCTAGCCCCTGCCCATGCCTCCCCGTGTACAGGGGCACATTTGAGCCCCTCTCCTCCTCCCTCCCACCGCATCAGGCCACACACGCTCAGAGTCAGACCCTGAGCCGAGCTGTTTTCATTCAGCTGAAGTCCTGCCACATGTAAAGTGTTCTCAAGCACATCAGTGGCCTTGCCCCCCACAGTCCCACCCCCGTACTCAGTCTGAGCCTCTAATGCCTCCCCTCGCACTCTTAGGTGGGGACCTCAGGCGTATGCCCTGAAGGACCACCCAACCACTCTGGGAGCCTGGCTGTGGCTCTGCTTAATGGGCTGCTGTAGTTCAGCAGGGGCTGAGCTGAGTAAGATAGGGACAGTCAAGCAGGGAGAGTCTGAGCCCTGGTACAGGTGGGAGCCCTTGGTGAGGGGGTCCAGTGTTCAGCACGAATTCAGAGTCCAGCCTCATTATAGCCGTAGTCCTCTGGGGAAATCGTCCCAGCTTGGGCTTTCTCATGAAGGGCTGTCCACCTCTGCTCCCCTACTTCCAGCCAGTACATTCCTCAGAATGGCCCCCAGGAGTGAGCTGGAGGGCCTGAGAGAAGACCCAGCTGACTTCTAGGGCAAGAGTAGACCCTGCCCTAAGAAAGGCTGATGCCATGGGCCCTCTTTAGTCACCCTGCTCCCTGGCATGGCTCAGCCTATGTGGGTCACAATGGACAGTCTCCACAAGCAGGAGGCTGGGCAGTGAAGGCCCAGCCCCCTTCACTCTGTCATGAGACTCTTTGGGCAGAGCCTAAGGCACAGTGCAGAAGGCCTCTACCTTGCTGCTGGCGGGCTCTCCCAGTTCTGCCACAACTTAACCATCTTATTGGCCGGGTGAGCAAAAGATCTAGGAAGTGTTTACGAGAGAAAAGTGTCCACTGAATATGACCTTCAGACTGATCTTCAGACTGTAGAGTGATTCACCCTCATGCAGTCTCTCAGAGCTGGGCCAAGATACTTGGCCACTAAAACCAAACCCTGTTGGAGAATGTGTCTGTGTGGGTAGCATGGGCCAAGGGTGCACTAGAATGATTCTACTTACTGTCCCGGGAAATGGCAGCATAGCCCCTGCCCTTGGCCTCACTTTGGATCACATTAGAATGGGTATGGCAGCAGGCCACCTTCCCAGACCCCAAAGCCCCTGGGGAGCCACCACAGGTTTTGTGGGTGCTGCTCACCCTGCACACATGCCCTGGGTCTCTTTTCTGCCTGTTTCCTGCTTCTCTTCCTCCCCTTGCTGCTGGCCAGGGCACCAAACCACTACTTCTGGGGCGAGGGTGATGCCAGCCAGCTGTCTCCTACTGCTTCTGGTGTTCTTCTGGTCAGCAGTCAGCCCCCAGGTGCCCCTGTTGACTGCCCTGATCCCTGTAGGGCCCTCGGCTTCTCTGCAGTTCAGCACCTATTTTGGGTGGGGGTGGGAAGGGGTGGTCACAATTAGATGAATGTGTGTCCCTAGCACAGTGGGCACCTAGGAGTGTGTGGTTTATCTGGGGGTCAAGGAACGGACAACAAATGTGGAAGGAGCTCCTAGTGGAGGAACCAGCATGTGCAAAGGAAAGAACACGACCTGGTAAAGAACCTGGATGACTGGTTTACAATGAAGTTGGAGGAGTCTTCAAGGCCTAGGTTCTGGAACTTTAGGTAAAAGTCTGCCAGTGGAGAGCCACTGAATGTTTAAAGCTGCAAAGTGATGTGGTCATATTGTGGTTAGAGAGATCTCCCTGCTGCCACTAAGATGATCTCTTTGGGTTGGAGAAAGAGGCTGGCACTAGTTCTCTGGAGTAGTGTTCAGAGGGGAATGAGGGCAAAGTGGCTAGCACTCCTTCAAAGTGACAGATGCCAGGGCAGTTCGGCAGGTCCTAAGCTGAATATGGACCAGGCCTTGTGAGGTCACCTTGGGGGAGCGCTGGTACTCAGCACTGCAAGGCCCCATTAGCTGACTTCCCCAAGATGGCTTACCTGCCCTCTCCTGTAGAGCAAGCAGATGGAGAAGGAGGAAAGGGCACTTCTGTGGACACCTGCTGTCAAGGACCAAGGCTGCCTGCGAAGGGACACCTGCCTGGGGGTAGCCAACAGCTTGGCCACGTGGCGGCAGCAGAGAACCAACTGTTGACTGCCATACCCCCCACTCCCAAAACGAGTGGATGGGGTGATCAAGGAGGGCCCCTGGAGTCTCCTCCCAACCCCCAGTAGTCTCTCTGAATGTCCCGAGGCGGGATGGGGATCACAAGACCCCTGTCTTAGCACCAGAAAGAGAATGTTTCATTTCAGTTTTGCCCCTCATGACTATCTTTAGACATGTTGACTGTGGAACACGGGAACCATGCCACAATATTCAATAGGTGTTTATTCATTTCCGGGCCAATTCTGGTTAGAGAAAGGAGTGCCTTTTACGTTGCCTCAGTCAAGTTATGCTCCCAACACTGGGTGTGGCTGCCCCTGTGCTGTTTCTTCTCTCAGTCACCAGGTGCTCATCGAGCTCTAGCCTGGAGGGGGGAGGGAAGTCCTGCATTAGGAATGCGGTGGTGGGGGGGGGCGGTGCAGGTATTCAGAGTGAACTGTGCTGGAATGGGTGTAGCACAGGGTCTGTGGGACCCAGGAAATGGACCTGGCACCACCAGATCAGGAAGGATTCCTGGAGGAGATGCCATCTAAGTTGCAAGACGAGGAAGAGAAAAGGGTGCTCCTGGAAGGAGGAACAAGGAGTATGGGCTGGGTGGGGAAGTAGAGGAGACACAGCTCCCAGGACCAGGCTGAATCCTGTTGGCCTGAGGGCTCCTCTCTCCCCCCCATCCTTTACCCTTCAAAGCCCTGGAACCCACAGTTCACAGGTCCCTTGGACGTCAGCCTAAGGGCCACTCTGTGAAACAACCCCAAGCCCACCTGGCTGAAGAGGCTGTCAGGCTGAGGATGTCCCCCAGAGCCCCCCTCCAGTGTTAGGGGGGACCAGTTACCAAGGGGCAGCCACTGAGGTCCAGGTGAGAGCAGACCTAGGTTGCCTCCTCTGCCCCCTCCTCACACACATCACAGTCTGGAGAGAGCTCTGAGCAATCACCTAGTCAGAACTTACATCCTCATTTCAGAGACTGAGAGGCTGAAGCCCAACTAGGCTAACAGAGCAGGTTAGAGGTGCCCTGAGAGCCAAAGCCCATGCTTCCTCCATATTAGGGGGGCGCTGGAGCAGAGCCAGAAAGGAAGGCCAGCATTGTGTGTTTTGTTATCCCCATGCTACAGCTTCCATATACTGAGGCAGTGGTGGAGGGACCAGAGACAGGGTTGGGCCTCCACATAAGGTGCCTCTCCTCTGATTCTAATGTCCAGGCCCCATTTATAACCCTACAGCCCTGGGTGGGCAGAGTGCAAAGCAGCTTCTTCTGACACCATCCAGTCGCTGACAGCCCAGGGCAGGCACAAGGAAGGATGCCTCCTGCCCAAAGAGGGGTATGCCACTCCTGGGGTCCCTCTACATCTCCCCTCTGGTCCTCCACACATTCCTGGTCTCTGTTCTCCAGACAGTGGGTCTCCCAGGCTCTGCCCGGAACCAGCGTCTGAGGGCGTTGCTGTAAACTGGCGCCAAGGGAAGAAATGAGCCAGGTGGTCTCCCCCCGCCACCGCCTCACCTCGGCCCAGCCGGTCGTCGGGGACTGGATGGGACGGCTCAGGCCTGCTTATCTCTCTCCAGGCCACTGCACGCACACACCCCCACTACTGAGAAAAAGGCGCCCTAGAGAAGCTGTATGACCCAGGCTTCCGAGGTGGACGGAGAGGCTGGTCTAGGCCAGGCCTTCAACAGGCCCCGCCCACAGAACCGCCCCCACACCCCGGGCCCCTCCCGCCCCGCGCGGCGCCCTCGGTCAGAGGCAGACTGCTCCAAGCGCCCGCTCGGAGAGGCAGCTGGGGCGGCAGGTGAGGCGCCCTCTCTGTTCCCTGCCGGTGTGTGTGTCCGCCCGCGCCAGGTGCTCAGACTCGAGGGCAGGAGAGGACGGTGGGCATCGCAGGAGCCCCGGGCGGGGGTCGGCTGCCGAGAGCTCTCAGGACCGGCGCTGGACACTGGTCCCAGCCCAGAGCTCGAGTCCGCTCCCAGCCAGGCCAGAGCCTAGAGGAATCCCGGCGGGGCACCAGCTGGGCCTCGATGGAGCTCCTCCCGCCGCCATCTCAGCCCTCCCTGTTGCTGCTGCTGCTTCTGCTGCAGACCAGGCCGTTGGCGGGTGGGTCCTGGCAGTGCCCACGGACCCCCTACGCCGCCTCCCGCGACTTTGACGTGAAGTACGTGGTACCCAGCTTCTCGACCGGCGGTCCGGTACAGGCTTTGACGACCTACGAGAGCGGTGGGGACGAGAGTGCCGTGTTCGTGGCCACACGCAATCGCCTGCACGTGCTTGGGCCTGGCCTGCAGCCAGTCGAGAGCCTGGTCACGGGCCCTGCTGGGGACCCTGGCTGCCAGACGTGTGCGGCCTGTGGTCCAGGCCTCCACAGCCCGCCGGGAGACACAGATGCGCAGGTGCTGGTGCTGGAGCCTGCGCTGCCCGCACTGGTCAGCTGTGGCTCCAGCCTGCATGGCCGCTGCTTCCTGCATGAGCTAGAGCCCCGCGGGACAGTCCTGCACCTGGCGCCACCAGCCTGCCTCTTCTCCCCACGCCACAACCGGCCCGAGGACTGCCCCGACTGTGTGGCCAGCCCTCTGGGCACCCTTGTGACCGTGGTTGAGCAGGGCCATGCCTCCTACTTCTATGTGGCATCCTCATTGGACGCGGCGGTGGCCGCCAGCTTCAGCCCACGCTCGGTGTCCATCCGGCGCCTCAAGGCCGATGCCTCAGGATTCGCACCAGGCTTTGCAGCGCTGTCAGTGCTGCCTGCGCACCTCACTTCCTACCGTATCGAATACGTGTACAGTTTCCACGCGGGAGCCTTCGTCTAT